GATTTTCAGAATTCCCTCAATTGGTTTTGATTTACAACTAAGGATTGAAATGCCCTGGCACAAAATAATTTGTAACAGAAACTTAGGCAAGATATAGCTCAGGTCTCCTAACAAAGAACTTGAGGCTAAGGGAGAACAAATGGTTTACATAAATTCCCAAAAAGGTAAAAAATGAACAATATCAGGTTGATAATTGTAATATTTCTAAAAAATCATTTTATTTTCTTATGAATTCAAGAAAAGTATAGGAAATGTTGCTGCCTCCTTTTATGCACATTTTAATGTTATTCATTCTTTCAATTCATTACTATAAAGAAGTTATAATATTTAGAAAGCAATTAAGTAGACACAGTTACACTTTATAAGGTAGTTCATGCCAGGTTATTATAAGGTGGTTCAGGTACACATGAAAGAGGACTTTGCAAATGGTTACAATCTTGGCAATTCAGTGTGCTATAATACAATTTTGACAACATGTAAATTTTACCACACTGTTCAGAAGGTGGCTGACTTCACTGTCCTATTGATATAACTTTGGTTGATGTATTCAGGAATACATCTGTGAAAAGGCTTAGACTATTTTTTAGTAGCCAGCAAAAATTTCCAGAATCACTTTGTTTTATGGATATGAACAAAGAATACTAAATAATCTCAGCTACCCATTAGTGCTAACTTAATCTTACTTCTTGGCTTCTAACACAACATTTGTATATTTTATACAGAATTAGTAACTAGCTTTATTTTTGCGGATATTTAAATAGCATTTTTATAAGCTTTTTAAAAGATTTTTTATTTCTTTATTTGAGAGGTAGAGTTACAGACAGTGAGAGGGGGAGACAGAGAGAAAGGTCTTCATCTGCTGGTTCACTCTCAAAATGGCCACAATGGCCAAAGCTGGGCTGATCCGAAGCTATGAACCAGGAGCTTCTTCTGGGTCTCCCACGTGGGTGCAGGGGCCTAAATACTTGGGCCATCCTCTAATGCTTTCCCAGGCCATAACAGAGAGCTAGATTGGAAGAGGAGCAGCTGGGACACAAACTGGTGCCCACATGGGATGCCGACACTGTAGGCGGAGGCTTAGCCTACTACGCCACAGCACTGGCCCCTTTAAATAGAATTTCAATGATGATTTTTCACTATTAGATATCATTGATATTTTTCCCTTCAAAAGGAAATACTGTCTAAATATATATTCCACATCAATTCTTATTATTTTTATTTGAATAAAGAGACTAAAACTTTTAACAAGCTACTGCAAGGTGTCCAGCGTGTAACAAATCTTCCCAGGCAGACAAATCAGTTAATTCACAGGCTTTTATTTGGGTTCCACCCCCCGGGCATGGTTCCCCGCTCCCAACAGAGCAACAGAGCGGGGGCAGGGGAAGTCGCGCATCAGAGATTGGGAGAGCTCCTTTTATAGATTCAGGGCATGGGGGTTAAAGGTTGAGGCGGGTCTGATCCTCACTGGTTGACCTTTAGGCACCCGCAGGGACCTTGACAAGGACTTTTCTTCCCTGGAAGTACAGGTAGGAACTTTCCATTCCCAGAAGTATAGGCCTTCCTTCCTTGTGGATCCCAAAGCTACCAGCTACCGAATTATTTTATTTGCGGTTTTGAACCCTTTCAATGTGGAATTTATTATTGAAGAAATCAGTCTATGTCTCATGGTCCTGCCAAACTTCCCAAACTACCTAGTAAAGAATCTAAGGAGAGTATCAATCTCTGCTAATTACAGGTGATGTGCTTGAAATATGTGGAAACAATGTAAATATCCATCAACAGATGAATGGACCAAGCAAATGTGGTATGCACGTTCGAAAGAATAGTATTCAATCTTAAAAAGAAAGAGGATCATTCAATATGTGACAATGTAGATGAACTTTGCAGACATTAAGCTGTATGAAGTAAGCTAGCCACAGAATGATAAATACTTCAGGATTTCATGAACACAAGGTTATCTAAAATATTCAAACTCATAAAATTAAGAATGGATGGTGGTTTCCAGGGATTATGGGAGGCAGCAATATGGAGTTGTTGACCAGAGATATAAAGTTTAATTTAACCAAGATGAATAAACTCTAGAGCTCTATTGCATGACAATGTATCTAAAGTCAATAATAATGTTGGGGATGGTAAAGTTAAAAATGTACTGAAAGTATAGATCTCTTGTGAAGTGTTCTCAATAAAATAATAAAAAAAAACAGATATATGCTTGAACATACCACAAACTATCTAAATCGCAATTTGTTATCAGTAAAACATGGATGATAATAAAGACATGTAATCAGGGAGTTTTTGAGATAAGGTACCATGAACAGAGACAGGCAATATTGATTTTGAATCAGTACATCACTTCTCTAATTAGAGAATGATTTTGTGTACTCATATGCATGTATGCATAATTATCTATATAATCTTCAAACACATACACACATAGACACACACACAGATAAGCCACCAGCTACCACTACTTGTGGGCCACTTCCTTACGAATAATCATTGACTCTACTGCAAGTATTACTTTTTATTTACCTCTTTTTAAATTTTCATCCACTTGAAATAAGTCTTTATTGTATTTTATTTTTATTTTATTTATTTTTTGACAGGCAGAGTGGACAGTGAGAGAGAGAGACAGAGAAAGGTCTTCC